TGTTTTTATCATAACCTCCTACTTTAGATTTTCAGTATCAAATATGCCAATTTTCTTTGTTAAATAAAAAATTTATAAAAAATAGTTATATTTTGTCGGTTTTTATGCGTTTTTTTTCGTAATAATCTGGTATTCATATTCGGCCAAATAATTTCCAATATTCGGCCGAATACTGAATAGTAACATCTCTAAACAGTACACTAGTAAACAGATTTTAAAAAAAACAGTTGGATCTGACAAGCAGTGGAGGCCTTAGCCTTCCTGCCGCCCTCGTGCGAAATTTTTCCTGCCGCCCAAGACAATTTATAAACTTGAATTTTAAGAACCTGAAAAACCAACCATTTACGGTAAAAGGTTTCTCCATTTGCAAGATTTCTATTAAATGCTAAAGAAATGTCAACCATTTCTATCTTCAGGGTATTTTTCCTTTGTAATTTGAAAAGGACCAAGCTTAATTAAATAGACAACAATGTTGCGAGATTGAACAATTAGGCACTTTCCACAATCCAATAAATTAGGTGTTTCTTGTAAAAAATCTTCCGATAAATTATTTGATTCCTTTAAAATAACTGGTTTGTTATCTACTTCAATGTGCAATGAAGTTATGCAATTATTTTTAAGTACTATTGAAGGTTTTCGAATTTTATTGGACAGTCGTACAGATAGTTGAAATCTTCACGACCTTCGTCAGGTTTTTTGCAAGTAACTTTTTTTTAATGCTCATGAATTTTTTAATTTTTTCAAACTTTTGTTAATCATATTATTAGGTAAATTTAGTAATTTTTTATGGTTCAAATTTAAAATCGCGTTTTTTTTTGTAAAGGTCAGGCGTTAAATCTATAATTTTTAATTTTTTATTAGAAAATTAAAACTTGTAACTAATAAAATTATCCGCCCCTATTTACTTGCCGCCCTATATACATCTCTCTTAGTTTACTTTTTATTTTAACATAGTCTGAATTATGATTTCGCTTATCGATGCCAGATATTTGTTTATTTTCCTGACAAGTAATAGCAGTTTTAATTTTTTCTTCAAAATTATCTTCGTGAAAATTAAGCTTCGTTTGATTTCTTCTACTTTTTTTTCTAATAACTTTATCTGTTTTGCATAATCATTGACTTTTAGATCTACTTTATATAACCATTTGTATATTATTTTCGTGGTGGCGCTTAAAATGTTTAACATGTTTTTTTCCTGTTGTTTCATCATTCTGTCTATTTCGTTCTTAAATTTCTAAACATTTTTTGAATCGTTTTTTTTTTACCTGATCCATAGTAGTAGCCATAATTAACCAATATATTTATATTAAGAAATATATATTTATGTATATTTGGTTATTTAAATAACCAAATATACAAAATTTTGATCGCGAAATTTAAATTCTGAAAAAAATTCTGGTCTTTAAATTTTTAGTTTCTTAATTAACCGTGAACTCAGTTTTTATGGATCTTAAAAATCAATTATAACTAATTTCATTAAGACTCTCATAACTTAGTTATGAAACTTTCATAACTTAGTAATGAGAGTCTTTATGAAACTAGTTATAGGGGAAAACGGGGCAACATGGCGAACGTTTTGAAAGCCCTGAGTTATTGCAAAACTATCAGTCCTGAAGCAATAATACTTTTTCAGTATGTTTATGTTATTAAAATGATTCATTGCCTGTATGAATTTTCAGTTTGCAAATATAACAATTTGAAATATATATTAAAATAAAAAGTTCATAAATTTGTCATCTGGTCACGTGACCAGGGCAAGATGACTTATAATGCAATTTTTACCTCCAATTTTATAAAATTTTAAAAACTACCGATAACTCTAAATAAAGTAACAAAAAATAAACAAAAATTGCAATAAACTACTTCTAAAAAAGTTAAGCTTAAAGGACACCATCCATTATGAGAAACCGAAAGTGAGGATTTTTTTTTAAGCTTAAAAAGTATACTTATGCGTATAAAATTGCGTTAGTAATATTTCAAAAAACCAATTGGTATTTTAAAATACAAGATGCAAATACAGTTTTGTTTTCATCCAATTTTAAGAATTTTTGTTAAGTTGTTATATGAAAACCCATCTTGCCCCATTCGCCATGTTGCCCCGCTTGAATTTAATTACTATCCACTCAAAATATTTTGAAATGTTATTGATAGATAAAATATTTTGAAATGTTATTGATAAATAACATTTCAAAATATGTAACGTAACTCTAAATCGTGGTTTGTTCTAGTCTGAAAATACAGAAATAACAGAAATACTTTGTTTTGATAAAGTAACCCTATCGCAGAGGTTACTTTGGACACAGATGCTTTTTTTAAAAACAGATACAAGAAGAAAAAAAAACACAATAAAATTACATACTTTTTTTTTGTCTATAAATTAGAAGGATAAATAGAATAAAAACGACCATAAATTAATAAGAGACAAAACATTAAATTTTATTAATCATGTAAAAACTGCCCTAAGTGTGCTTTTACGGTATATAATGTTATAGTAACTATTGCTTATGCGATAAAATAAAAAACCGAGAAATTTTAATAAACATATTATCGAAATTTTATTAAAATTCCGTGAACCAAACAGTGCCTTCCCAGCGGAAACAAATATATCTATTAGACGTCTTTTTAGTATCTAAGTTGTTTTGAGACATCTAAAATTAAATTGAGGCATTTAAAAGACGTCTCAAAGACGATCAAGTATTTTAGAAATAAGTTTGATGCAGTAAAGACGTCTGATTTTTATACAAACTCTTAAGAAGTATGAGTTAAAAATAAAACATCTAAAAGACGCCATGAAAACAGTTACATGACAAATGTCTTCTTTCAGACCTGAGATAAAAATGACATCTAAACAACACTTTAAAGAGGAGGATTAGATATCATATGTCCATTTTTAAACATCTGATTGACACGAGTTGAGACGTCTATATTTTTCAAATTTTTTACATATTTTTTTAACATATAGTTTTATTTAATATGAAAATCCCACAAGCAATAATTGAAAAATGTTTAAAACAAATAGAAAATCCGGCATACAATACTAATTGGTGTTTATTATTAATGGTTACAAATTTCTGATTTATTGAAAAAAGTTTGTATCTTTTTTAAACTAGAACGCAAACATGTCAGAAATGAAATAAAAATCAGAAATATACTTGATTTAAATCTAAAGTTATTTCATTATTTTAATTAATTTGTAGAAAGAACTGACAGTAAAATAACCATCTGTTTCAGTTTCACATCTGTCATTTTACTTTGAAGGATTATTTTGAAATTGTTTTCTTGAAGCACTTTTATATATTTTTTTTATTCTCATAAAATTTCAAACATAAATCTTAAAAATTGCTCAAGTTTATTCTTATGACTGCATGTTTTACGCTTTTTTTTCCTGCTAACTCAGCAGTTTCTATTTTTAAAAAAACTTTTTTTTTTAAATGTTTTTTTTTATTATTAAGAATTGTGACCAATATTTAAATAAAATTACCAATCAGTAAAAATGATCATATCTGCCATTTTACTTAAATCAAATGCAAGTATTTTGTAAAATTAAAATAATAGAGTAGTAGAAAATGCAGTCATTATGCAAAACGCAATTATCATTATGTGCATGACTTCATATCTTAATTTAACTACATTTTTTAATGTAAATAAATGTTAAAAATTCCGTATTGGTTATCTAATAATGTCAAAAATATTTTTTTGGCATATAAAAATTAGAAAAGAAGAAGGATTTAGATAAAAACATTGTTTCATTGAAATATTATGGAAACGAAGAGCCATTTTAAAACATGTGATAAAAACATTTTAAAACGTGATAAAAATAGTTTTGCAAATACTCATGAGAAAAGTATTTTAAAAAAAAAATATAAGTTATTTGAACAATTTGCGTAAAGAGAAGGATACTTAAAAAAATACGCTGCTCTATTCAGAAAATTTTCCTTAAGTATACCAACAATTTCTGAAATCAAAACAAAATTTTTATTATTAAATTAAGGTTAGTTCTTTTTCCTGATCTGATGTTTTGGCTCATAACATTTTTATTTTTGTTTTATAATATTTTTTAAAGGAACAAAATTTATATTGGGATAGGGGGGGGGGGGCAGTACTACCCCTAAATAGTTTTAAAGACCTTTTTTTTTAGTCATTTTTCAGTTAATTTCTTCAAAATGATTTATTTGAAAAATTATTAGGGAAGGAAGGGGGCAAACGCCCCTGCTGCCCCTGGTTGCTACGGCATATATATATATATATATATATATATATATATATATATATATATATATATATATATATATATATATATATATATATATATACAAAATTTTATTTAAGTTATATCATTATGCACTCGCAACTTCGGAATGTATACATTGAATCAACGTTGATTCATATACATTAAATCAACGTTTGGATAATATATATTGACTCAACGTCAATTCATATAAATTGAATCAACATTGGGTGTTATATGTGTATGTATATGTTTATGTGTATATGTATACCTATCTATGTATACGTGTGTGCATTTTTGTGTGTATGTTTTGTAGATGTAGTATCATATTAATACATATTATTTTTTTATTACATGAAAACATAAAAATAAGTTTTAAATAATTTTTTAGCACCTTTAATTTTAATATTAAAAAATTGAATTGTCTTGCTATTTCATAATTATTAACAGCGACTAACTAATAACAAATTATTACTAACATTAACATTAACTACTAACCGATTTTCTTCTCTAAATAATCAAAAACATTTTTTAGCCGTAAGTTTAACTAAAGAAATTCTGCCAAAATTAACTTTTTACTACTTGCCTGATGTTTGTGGTAACACATGAAACTCTGAGTAAAATCTGTGTCAAATAACGTAATCAACTTGCACGCAGAAAAAAATTTTTTTTTTTTTAAATAAAAACAGCATCATTGAAAACAGTAAAAATGCAAATAAACTATCTTTAAATATAAATAAAGAAAACTTTTTTAGCTAAACAACCTGGTTACCTTTCTAGTCGATTAAAGCACGATTCGCAAAACCTGTGTCCACATTCCTCAATTTGGATAGGATGACGCAAAACCAAAAAGCAAACTGGACATTTAAGATCATTTGGAAGAGTATCAACAAAAAATTCGTCATATCCACCAAAATAAAGAGGGTCTGCATTGTTTGAACTTTGAGCAGATTGATCTTTGCTATACGTATGTTCTTTTTCAACCCTAATTGGCGCTAATAAATTTTGAGATGAAACTTTATAAGACATTTGAATATCGCTTTCATTAAAATAACTTTTCAAGTTTATACGTTCGTAAAGATTTATACTGAATTAAATTAATCCTGAAAGAAATTGAAAGGTATTTTTAACACAAAAAACGGAGTTGAATAAATCTTTTGTATTAAATAATCCGGGTCTTTTTAGCATGAAACAACAATCAATAAAAGCTTAAAACTACGAAACAAAATGATTATGACCAAGCATTGAGTAAGTTGCGTGATTAACGTAACGTTAGCAATGTTAAAAAAATTAATGTAAAATGGAATTATAAGAGTTTAAAAGTTGCTGTAAACAAAAAAAATTTAGAATTGGAAAAAAAACAAAAACTTAATAAAATATCTTAACCTTTTTTTATTTTCTACAATTGTTGTAGTTGTTTCTTCATAATTTTTGTTTCATGTTTATCCATATAAAACAAAATTAAATTTGGTTAAAATACTTTTTAAACTTATTATGTTCAAGGCCGGCGCGATAGGGGTGTGTGACACCCCCCCTCCCCCATCAATGATTTTTAGTCGGCAAACTGGACCTTCAGTCGGCAAATTGGACCGTTTTAGACTAGTCAGTCGGCAAATGTCGACCCTTTCGATATAGGTTAGAGGTTAGACAGTCGGTAAATGTCGTCATGATAGTCGGCAAATTTTGGAAAACGAGGACCTTTTTTTTTTTTTAGTCGGCAAAAGTTGTAATGGCACCCCCCCCCCCCCCCACGTGACTCCTTCTCGCGCCGGCCGAGAAGGTGTCACGAGTTTGCAAATATATAAAATACTAAATTTTTTATTAAAATTTTTTGCATGCTCTAATATTAATTTTGTAAGTTACAATAAAAACTTTCTTTTCCCAGTTTCTGGTGTCTCGGTTTCTGGTGTCTCAGTTGCTGCTGATATAACTGATTGCACGATAGATGATTATACCACTCACAATGAAGGGAAAAGATATTTTTAAACGCAAGTGTTCTTCTTGTGATTTTTTATTGAATAAATTATAGTTTTCATTATAAATAATGAGATTATATAGTCTTAAACCATTCATTTAAATTCCTTAACTCAAAAATTATATCAAAATAAAGTTAATTGATTCCAATATATCAGAAAACATTATCAAGTTTAGCTTTGCTGATGCATCTAATATTATTGAATTCATTAGACTAAATTAAAACATGAGCGGACTAAGAACTGACGTTGCGAAATTCAACATATTGTTCTCTATTAGTCAGGTTCGACATATTGTTCTCTATTAGTCAGGTTTTATTTCATTATAGGTTCTTCAAGAGTGTTTTACTGTTTTATTTTTTCTAAAAGAATGAAGTGATTTTGATAAAAAAAAAAGGATTTAAACAGACAGGAGCTCAAAAAAAGATGAATAGAAAAATCATAATCTTTAATGTGGGTTTAAAAAAAGTGTAAATAGAATATAGAGCTTTTATGTGGGTTTAAAAAAGTGTGAGGCAGAATATAGAGCTTTAACGTGGGTTTAAACCTACAAGTGTAAAAAAGGTTGAAGAGCTTTTAAGTGGGTTAAAAAAAGTAAAATAGAGTATAGAGCTTTGTTAAAATAAAATTGTTGCAAAAACTAAACAATATTCTGTTAAAATGTAAAGAAATAAAAGCCTATTTAATATATATTTAACTCAAAAAAACAAAATCAAAATAAAATATGTTGCAATAAAGTAGGAAGAATATTTTAAAAATTATTTCAAAGTCATTGATCTCTATTAGATAATAAAAATAAAAGTTAACAATAGAAATGAATTGTTTTAAATATATAAGAAATTAAAGTTAATAAACAAATGTATAAAATAAATTTCAAAGCTGTCATTTGATTTCGAAATTTTTCTTTTGATATGAAACTTAAATGTATTTACTCATTTCATCATTCTGAAATGGTTATTTTTAAATCTATACCATATCTTGAGCCCACGATACGTCATGCTGTATTATTTATATTTAGTTATTTTACAAATCAGTATTCACATACACTCTCATTTGATCTCATTGAACTTTTATTGTTTTGATTTACTTTAAGTTATTTTATTATTTAATGTTTAAATCCCCCACAGATGGAAGCGGCGGAAGATGAAGTCAGGATATTCTGCTACTAAAAATCTTTCAAGAGGCAACTGCAAGAGTTTTCGCGCTTTGTTCACTTTAGCTAAGAATATTTTAAAACAGTTGATAATATCTATTTTAAAACAGTTGATAATATCTTTCGGCAGTAACACTTTTCCGAAAATTCAACATTTTTTTTTAGAGAGAGAAAACTCTTGCAGTATCCTCTTGAAAGGTTTTTAGTAGCAGAATATCCTGACTTTATCTCACGCTGCTTCCATCTACACTGTTAAAAATTTCCATACTTTTAGGTAGTTATTTTCCTTTATTTGTACGGAAAGTACCCTTGTAACAAAACTGAACGGAAATTTTTCTTCTTTTAAAATAAATTTTGAAACACGGAAATTTTTATTGCAAAAAGGTTTTATTATGGAAGCCAAAGTAAAATTTTAGCCAACAAACTTGTCACATTAAAAAGTAATTTTAAATTTTTTAGCTAGCGTGTTTTTTAAATATAACCAATTATAGTGTGTATATATATATATATATATATATATATATATATATATATATATATATATATATATATATATATATATATATATATATATATATATATATATATACAGTATTGGACAAGTGCAACCAAATAATGATAATTTAGTTTCTTTACATAAAAGTGCTGCATTTTTTCAATTTAGAGAAATAACTATGTAACTGTTTAGAGACAACGTTCTTCAAGTTTTATTCATCAAAAGTTCATTATTTGTACACGAAAATTAATAAATTAATCAAAGTATTAAAAAAAGTTGATTTTCTTCTGGACAAAACAAGTGCAACTCCACAAAATGTTGACCAAGCTGTATTTCGCTATCAATATTTCGTGGCGAATCCTTTGTTGTCGATCACAGCCTTGCATCTTCAAGGCATAGATTCGATCAGGTGATCAATGAAACTTTGTGGAATCGCAGCCCAGGCCTTTTAGATTTGTTCAAACAGTTGATCCTTATCACGAACACTATCACGATTAATTCTGCGGTTGACGATCTCCCACAGGTTTTCGATAGGGTTGAGATCCAGAGATTGAGGCGGCCAATCTATCACCGATAGGTGGTTGTCTTGAAATCACTTCCTGACTACTTTTCCTGTGTGTTTCGGATTGTTGTCTTGCTCAAAAAAACCATTTTATTGGCATATTCAGCATGAGGTAATATAACATCTTTCAGGATATTTTTATACATAAAACGGTCCATTATTCCATCGTTTCGATATATTGGACCTAAACCGTTAGCAGAAAAACACCCCCAGACCATTACATTGCCTCCACTATGCTTCACGGTCTTATGGCAGTAACGTAAATCGAGGCGTTTTCCAGCCGGTCGACGTACTCGGCAAATGCGATCGTTCCCAATAATGTTGAACTTCGATTCATCACTGAACAGGACAGTTCGTCATTTCTACACATTTCAGTCAATATGAGATGTAGCAAACAGGAGCCTTTTCTTCTGGTTTTTTAGCGAAATCAGCGGTTTCTTTGCAGGATGTCGAGAAAACAATCCGGCTTCAACGGCACGTCGCCTGATTGTTCAGACTGATACAGCCAGCTCTAATTGCTTTTGTATCTCGACTGATGATATCCAGGAATCCAAGGATCTGGCTATCATAGAATTCTCTCTAGAAATGGTAGAACGCGGTCTTCCACTTTTGTTATCTGCTGCCAACTTCCCCGTAGAACGATATTTGGAACATAGTCTTGATACGGTCTATTTTTTCACGCGATATTTATCACAAATACTTTTTTGTGACATTCCACTTACGTAATCGCCAATAATTTTCTTTCTTAGTACCAATCCAAGACTGTCGGGAGCTATTTTTGTACTTGAGTCATTAAAATAATAAAAATAAATAATCACGCTTCTTAAGGATTACCGTGTTATATTTACCTTGTGATAATACAAAAATGCTCTGTGGAACACAACGCCTTGGTTGGATGTAGACAGTATTGATGTAATGAAACAATTTTTGTATTTCACTTCTTGTATTGATGTTCTTTGATAAAACACTTTGATAGCACTCACTTCGATAAACTGTCTTGATAATACTGACTGATTGACTTCCATATACTGACTGAATCACATGTCGGTTTACATGTCTCTTATATAGTAAAATAAACCTGTGTGAACCTGTTGTGGAAGATTCTAGATGCTTTTTTTCGATGCTTCTGGAAGCTTCTGGATGTGTCTGGATGCTTCTGAATGTTTCTGGATACTTCTGGATGCTTCTGGATGCTTCCAGATGCTTTTTCTGGAAACTTCTGGAAGCTTCTGCATGCTTCTAAAACTTCTGGATACTTCCTTTAATTATTAAAAATTTTCCGTGACGTTGAAACGGACCAGACTTAAGAAAATGAAACAAACCAAAAAAGTTGCACTTATTTTGTCCGCTTCAAAATGGCACTTGTCAACGAAATTCTGCCTGTGTGCTGTCACCTGTCAGCTGATTGCTCATGTCGTGGCATGCTATGACTCCAGACTCCTGAACTGTTTGTATAGTTCGTTTCGTTTTTAAGACATGTAAAATTAGGAACACTTTTTTGCATTGTTCGATGTTTGTTGCAATTGTTTTGTCCAATACTGTATATATATTAACTTAATTTAAGCTACTGATGGAACGAAGAGGATAGTGACAATTTGTACTTGTAAAGAAATTGTTGAATGATAAGGAAAGGTTTTTGTGATGATAATTCCAAACAAATTGGCAGTTAAGGAATATCACAAGGTTGCTTATTTTTAATATATTGGAATTTAGGTATAGCACATTAGATTTAGAGTTATTATAGTGAAAATATATTATTTTCAAGGCTTTATTTTGTAGATGGGACAACCTTAAAATATTTGTTTATGAGATTGTCCCCATACTTGACATGCATAGCTTAGATGGGACCCAAAAATAGCATGATATATATTTAGCAGAGTTTCTAGATTTACACAATGGCAGACTTTGGCTAG